ATCTGAAACTCTACAATTTTAAATTGGGTATAATTTTATATTATTATAGTGGGTTTTAGGACAGGACAAATAATTTAATTAGTTTTGAATATTTTTAAATATTATGGTATTGCTGTTTTATTAATGTGCCTGTTCACCGCCCTGAGTCCCGCAAGGGAGAAGGGCGGTATATAAATCAAATAAATTTGAATTTGAATTTAGAGTGGCCCTGAAAAAAGTGACGAATGACCAGTTTTCACACTAAAACAGGGTGCCAGAAGCGGCACTCAGAGTCTTCTCTGTGGGCACGCGCGCCATCGCCCCAGTCCTAGGCCTTCAGCTGGGTTTTGTAAAACCTTTTTGCTTTAGGCCTCTGTTGCCGTGTACAAAAAAAAAAAAGGTTCAATCAATCAGTCAATTTCAACTTCTCGCAGGGAAAAAAAGATCTTGCAAAGTTGGAATTGATTGATTGAACTTTTTAGTCCCACCCAGTCTGTCGTTACCACTGCAGCCACGCCCAGCCAATGGGCCACACCCACCCAATGGGCCACACCCACCCGGCACCTGACGATGCATAAGTGGGTTTTGGGTTGCAGTTTGGGCACTCGGTCTCTAAAAGGTTCGCCATCACTGCACTAAAAGGACCATCGCATCATCCCCATGGTCATGTGATCAGAATCTGGGTGCTCGGCAAATTGGCGCGTATTTATGATCGTGGCAGCATAAGCGATCACTATTTGTAACCTTCCCAGCCGGCTTCTGATAAGCAAAGTCAAAGTGGGAAGCCCGATTCGTTTAACAACCTCACGGGTCGCTTCACAACTGCAGTGATTTCCTTAACAGCTGTGGCCCCAGGTCGTAAGATGGGGCACAGCCAGTGGTGGAATTCGAATACCTGAACAACCAGTTCTCTTATTTGATGCAGGCCTGGGCCTCCGAGGCCAAGGACGGACTTCCGGAAGTGGCATCACACACTTCCGGCGGGCCATTCTAGGCCTGGGAGGCCTCCTCCAGGCCTCCGAGGCCTAAACTGGACTTCTGGAAGCCAGCCAGTTCTCCGAAGGCAGCAAAATTTAGCTACTGGTTCTACCAAACCAGTGCAAACCGGCTGAATCCCACCACCGGGCACAGCACACTTAATATTCGTCTTGCTTAAGAGTGGGCATGTTGGGCTCAGTCGTGGTTGTAACTCAAGGACTACCTGTAGCAACGTTTATGTGGTCCAGTGCATCCAATGTCATCGTCTGATGTTTCTATTAAACCACCCAGGTCAAACAAAAGACATTAAACAATCTCTCCCACTTCCCAATCTTTTTCTACAGGAGACAACGGGGGGCTCATGTTTCCGGCATGGTCATCGTTGACATCAGCCTGTTGAGTGGCTTTCAGCCTGATGAGATGGACCTTGCTCAGGTAGATCTTGGCAAAGTACTATATTTCCCTTTAATATAGGAAAAGGGTGGTTATTCAGACCTACCTCCACGGCAGAAACTCTTGGATCTGGATATCCCTCAACTTGTCCCCATTTAGTTGGGCGAAGCAGAGACTGGAGGCTAAAACATTGAGAATGCAGGACTTCTCCATGTCTTACTGTTTTCTAGCGACCTTTGAGCTTGGCGGAAAATCCGACTTGTAGACTTCAACTCCCAGAATTCCTCAACCAGTTCTGTGGGGCTAAAGTTCCTGCTGATCTCCATCAAGTTCATCTTCCTTCTTCCCTACAGTTTGGGAGATCTGCTTGCTTGTCGTATTTCTTACAACTGTTCTGTCCCTCCTTTCTCCGCAGCTGCAAGAGGTCCCCGACCAATACATCAACCACTGGGAGATTCAAGGACAACAGCTGCTCCTGTATTTTGACCAGGTGACAAAACAATCTATTCGGAGGGGCTGTTGGAGAGGGCAAGGGGTGCAAGTGGGCCTGTTGATTATATACCTGGCGCCCTGCTATGTATCAACGGCCCTGCCTGAGCTGGCTGACGTAATAGCCGGGGTGGCGGTGGAGACCCCTAGACTTATAGTTATGGGGGATCTCAATCTGCCATCGGCAGGCGAAACGTCGGCGGCAGCTCGGGAGTTCTTGGCTTCCATGACGACCTTGGACCTGACCCAATTAGTTCATGCCCCCACTCACACGGGAGGACATACACTAGATCTCATTTTTGTCTCTGGCCAGTGGCAGAATGATCTGGAAATGGGGGAGATAGTTATAGAGCCCTTGTCATGGTCAGATCATGCACTCCTTAGGATGGATTTCCGGACCGCTTCCCCCCGCCGCAGGGAGACGAAACCGCGTAGATGGTTCCGTCCCAGGCGCCTGATGGACCCAGAGAGGTTCCTGACGGAGCTTGGGCCATATCCGGAGGATCTAGTTCACGACTCGGCGGAAAATCTGGCTGCGGCCTGGGATGTGGCCGCAGCCGCAGCACTGGACCGAGTCGTGCCGTTGCGGCCTCTGACCCGACGCAGATCTCAACTAGCTCCTTGGTTTACCGAGGAGCTGAGAGAGATGAAGCGCCGGAAAAGACGCCTAGAGAGCAGTTGGAGGGTTACCCGAACCGAATCCGACCGAACACAGGTAAGGATGCATGTCAGATCCTACCTTGTGGCAATGAGGGTGGCGAGGTCTAATTACTACTCCACCCTCATTGCGTCATCAGATAACTGCCCAGCCACCCTCTTCAGGGTGACCCGCTCTCTCCTTCAATTGAGGAGGGGGACCCCCTGGTGGGGAGGGCTGAGGATTTTGCTCAGTATCTGTATGACAAAGTCGCTCGGATCCGAGAGGGTTTAGACTCTGACTGGGTGGCCCCGGGGGAGGAGACGGGAGCAGGTCTTGAGACTGTTGTATGGGAGGAGTTTGACTCTGTGGCTCCTGAGGACGTGGACAGGATCCTGGGGAGGCTGAATGCAACCACATGTTTATTGGATCCGTGCCCCTCCTGGCTGGTACTGGCAGCTCGGGAGGGTACACGAGCCTGGCTCCAGGGAATTACAATCGCTTCTTTACGGGAGGGCGCCTTCCCCGTAGCCTTAAAGGAGGCAGTGGTGAGGCCCCTCCTTAAGAAGCCTTCCCTGGACCCAGATGTATTGGCTAACTATCGCCCAGTCTCCAACCTTCGCTTTGTGGCGAAGGTTGTTGAGAGTGTGGTTGCGCAGCAGTTCCCTCGGCACCTGGAGGAAACAGTCTATCTGGACCCACTCCAGTCAGGCTTCAGGCCGGGATACAGCACGGAAACGGCATTGGTCACATTGGTGAATGATCTCTGGAGGGCCCGGGACAGGGGTTATTCCTCTGTCCTAGTTCTTTTGGACCTCTCAGCGGCTTTTGATACCGTGGACCATGGTATCATGCTGCGGCGCTTGGGTGAGTTGGGAGTGGGAGGCACTGTCATGCGGTGGTTCTCCTCCTTCCTCACCGACCGTACGCAGTCTGTATTGGCAGGGGGACAGAGGTCGACCCCAAGGCCCCTAACTTGTGGGGTGCCACAAGGGTCGGTCCTCTCTCCGCTTTTGTTCAATATTTATGTGAAGCCGCTGGGGGAGATCATTCGTGGCTTTGGGGTGGNTCCTCCTTCCTCACCGACCGTACGCAGTCTGTATTGGCAGGGGGACAGAGGTCGACCCCAAGGCCCCTAACTTGTGGGGTGCCACAAGGGTCGGTCCTCTCTCCGCTTTTGTTCAATATTTATGTGAAGCCGCTGGGGGAGATCATTCGTGGCTTTGGGGTGGACTTCCATCAGTACGCTGATGATACTCAGCTGTACAGTTCCACCCCAGGCCACCCCAACGATGCCCTTGACGTGATGACCCGATGCCTGGAGGCCGTAAGGGTCTGGATGGGGAGAAACAGACTCAGGCTAAACCCTTCCAAGACCGAGTGGCTGTGGCTGCCGGCGCCTCGGCATAGCCAGCTGACTCCATCGCTGACTATAGGGGGCGAAACTTTGGCCCCCTCGGAGAGGGTACGCAATCTGGGTGTCCTCCTGGATCCACGGCTGACACTGGAAGACCAGTTGGCGGCCGTGACCAGGGGGGCGTTTTATCAGGTACGCCTGATTTACCAGTTGCGGCCTTTTCTGGACCGGGACGCCTTGCGCACAGTCACTCATGCCCTTGTCACCTCCCGCCTGGACTACTGTAATGCTCTCTACATGGGGCTCCCCTTGAGGAGCACTCGGAGGCTCCAGTTAGTCCAGAATGCGGCCGCGCGGGCGGTGTTGGGAGGGACTCGTCGCTCCCATGTAACACCGTTACTGCGCGAGCTGCACTGGCTGCCGGTGGCCTTCCGGGTGCGCTTCAAGGTGTTGATTATCACCTTCAAAGCGCTCCATGGCATCGGACCTGGATATCTTCGAGACCGCCTTCTGCCTCAGATTACCTCCCATCGGCCAGTACGCTCCCACAGAGTGGGTCTCCTCAGGGTGCCATCAGCCAGACAGTGCCGGCTGGCGACCCCCAGGGGGAGGGCCTTCTCGGTGGGAGCTCCCACCCTATGGAATGAACTACCCCCAGAGATCAGGGTGATCCCTGATCTCCCTTCCTTCCGCCGCGCCCTTAAGACATGGCTGTTTCAGCTAGCAGGACTGGCCTAGGGGATACTTTTAGCTGGGGTTTTAAAAAAAAAAACAATTTTAAATTAATATAGGCCAATTATTAATATTTTCTTTTAATTATGTTTTTAATTATAGTAATTTTGGTATTTTTGTATCTGTTTTATCTGGCTGTAAGCCGCCCTGAGTCCGTAAGGAGAAGGGCGGGATATAAGTATAATAAACATAACAAACATAATAAACATAACATGTTCAGATGGACTGTGGGGTCCTTGGTGGCTTCAGAGCTGGGTTTGCTTGAAGAGGTTCCATTATCCAACCGAGTAACATCACCAATTGGGCAATGGCTGCAAGCAAACAGCCAGGCTGAGAGGGCCCCAAGGATTCCACAGATCAGCCCTGATCTTTATGTCCTACGCCAGTGATGGTGAACCTTTTAGAGACCGAGTGCCCAAAAACCTCCCCCCCCGTCCCCGCTCCGCCTACCGCCCTGCCTGCTCCACCCCCGCCGTTCCTTGCCCCGCCTGCCCGACCACGCACCGCCTCCATGGCCCGCCGATCACACAGGCAGCCCTGCAGCACCATGGCAGCCACGCCCTCCGCCCACACCCCACAGCATCATCTGCACGCTATGGGGCGCGAGGGCGGAGTCTTGTCCCTGCTGCCCGACTATGTCCTTGGCTGCGCTGCTCCGTGCAGGCTGCGCCTGGGGGCGACTCTCCTCCAGGGGGGCTGCTGGTGAGGAGGGGGCTGTGGGGGGAAGCGGGGCTGAGGCAACAGCATGCGTGCCCACAGAGAGGACTCCGAGTGCCGCCTCTGGCACGCATGCCATAGGTTCGCCACCACTGCCCTACGCTCTCATCTACTGAAGCCAGATGTACTTCTCCATGCCTGTGTGGGAAGAGAAGCTAAAGCACACAGGTAGTCCTCAACTTATGATCATTCATTTAACAACTGTTCAGAGTTAGGATGATGTTGAAAAAAAGTGACTTAGGACTGGTCCTCACGCTTAACGACCATTGCAGCATCTCTGCAGTCCCATGATTGAAATTCCGGCGCTTAGCAGCCATCATGTATTTACAATGATTGTCGCATCCATGATCCGTGATTTGTTATTTGTGACATTCTGGCAGGGGATGTGGAGGGGGAGAATACGTGTGGTTATAACTTGAGGACTACCTGCAAGCCACTGATATCTGCCTTTTCAGACAATGCAGTTCCTTCCAAAGGCTGGAGTCTTCATTTTGATCATCCCTGTTACTTTCTTTTTGAAGCTCATCTTGGTTCACTGCCCTTCATCACTCTTTGTAAAAGAGCTAAATTGATGCCTAGCTTCATTTTCCTCCTCCAAACAGCAACCCACCCACCCAATCCCTAAATTGGACTATACATCCCATCATCCTCAGCCAGCAGAGTTCTTGTTTATGTTGTCTGTGAATGACTGGAATTATAGCCAACACATCCAGAGGTCAGCAAGTGGGGAGGGGAGCTGAACTGCATGTTACAGATAGTCCTTGACTTACGACCACAATTGAGCCCAAAATTTATGTTGCTAAGTGAAACATTTGTTAAGTGAATTTTGCTCTAATTTTACAACTTTTCCTGCCACCATTGTTAAATGAATCTCCACGATTGTTCAGTGAATCTGGTTTTCCCATTGACTTTGCTTGTCAGAAGGGGCGCAAAGGGGGAATCACATGACCCCGGGGACATGCGACCGTCATAAATATAAGTCAGTTGCCAAGCATCCGAATTTTGATCATGTGACCGTGGGGAATCTGCAATGGTTGCGTGAAAAACAGTCACAAGTCCCTTTTTCTTCCAGTTCCGTTGTGACTTTGAATGGTCAATAAATGAACTGTTGTAAGTCGAGGACTAGCTGTATTTGTAAAAATAATAAAAGCAGGATATAAACCAAGAAGCAAACCAACTTGTAAATGGATTGTCCAATTTGCCCCCGAATGGAGGATTGTATTCTAGATCAGGGCTTTTCAACCAGTGGTACGGTTACCATCTGTGGTACATTGGCACCTGGCAGGTGGTACGCGACCATGCTAGAAAAGTGGTAGTGGGGGAGGGGAATGAGCTGAACCGGTGGCAGCACCGCACAAGCCTGAGCGAGAGACGGCTGGAGCTGCAGGGCTGTCAGGGCTCAGCGGAAGCGCCAGGATCAGCGCCAGGCTCCAGCTGGAGCTCGGCACTGATCCTGGCGCTTCCGCTGAGCCCAGAAGAAGCGCCGATCAGCTGGAATGTTGCAGCATCTCCAGGGTCTTGTGATTTACATTCAGATGCTTGGCAACTGATTCATATTTATGACGGTCACAGTGTCCCAGGGTCATGTGAAGTGACCAAAACCTGCTGCAACCACCCAGCAGATGGGGGGAATAAAAACCAAACACCCCCCACCCCACCCCCG